GGGGGGGGGCCGCGAGCGCCGCACCTTGCCGAGCGCCAGCCTCTTGTTCTCCACGGTGGGCCGCAGGTCCCGGCGATGGCACTCGGCCTCGGCCCAGCCCAGCGCCGCCTCGAAGACCGCCATCTCCTTGGCGTTGAGCGTCTCGCGGCGCAGGATGCTCTCCAGCGTGTGCGCGTCGATGTCGCAGAAGCCCTCCGAGCGCAGCGCCAGCTCGGCCTGGGCGTCGATCACCTCCCAGCAGCGCTGCGTCAGGTCGGGCTCCTCGAAGAGGCAGCTCTGCGACAGCAGCACGCAGGCGTTCTTGGCGCTCAGGCTGGTCTCCAGGAAGCTGACGCAGGCGCGCGCCAGGTGCGGCACCATGTACTTCTTGGCGGCGTACAGCGTGGCCAGAACCGTGTCGGCGCACAGCTCGATCTCGTCGCAGTAGATGTACCTGCCGGGGAGAACGCGCGGAAAAAAAATTCCATTCGACCGGCGCGGCGGCTTTCCCCGCCGCGCCCCGCCGGCACTCACTTGAGCATGGCGAGGAAGGACGGCGGCTCCACGTCGGGGATGCGGATCTCGTCCCGATCCTCGGCCAGCTCGCCGTAGAACATGGCGTGGAACACCGAGCTGCCCACCGCCAGGACGTACTGGACACACGCAATGACAACACGAAATCACTTGCGGCCAAATCAGCACTCGGGATCATTTTTTTTTATTTTTTTTTTAAAGGAGCCGAGGTACCTTGTGGCCCGGAACCCGCTGCGTCCCACCCGGCGGTCCCACCACAAAGTAAACGTCCGCCATCATGTCATTGTTGAACATGACGGAGTTCCTGCATCAAAAACAACAACAACAGTTGTTTTAATTCTGTTCTTGTTCCTGGAGTGAGAGAAAATGACCCCCCCCCCCCTCACCTCTCGCGGATGGTGGGGTACAGGCCCTGCCAGGTGCAGCCGGCCCGCCTGGAGCCGTTGTTGTCGCCGCTCAGGCTCGGCTGGTCGCGCGTGCGCTGGCACTCCGGCTCTTGTTGCTGCCGCCGCCGCTGCTCCTGCTCCTGCTCCGGGGCGGGCGGAAGAAGCTTCTTGCAGGGGAACAACTCCGCGGCCATTCTCTGGGCAGTCACGCCGCCGACCGCCCGCCGCTCATGGCAGCCGCCGGGCCCGCGCGCGTGCAAAACGGCTCTCGGGGGGGAAAAAACCTGAGCGAGGCAGTGGAGATGCGCTTCATTCACACAAAAGTCGGGGAACTCAAACTAAGAGACTTTTTGGCCGTTTTGTTTTTTTCCTCTTTCCAGTTTCTTGGGCCGCCATATTGGTTTGGACAAGTACAAGAAACCACGACGTTCAAAGTGAAGTGAGGAGCTTCTTTCGGGCCATTCCCCCCCCCCCCAGGCGTGTTGCCTCGATAACCGAAAGGCCTTGCAACTCGACAAGAAAACCAAAAGTCAAAGTCTCATCGGTTTCCGGTGCCCGAATTGTCGCCGGCGCCCCGTCGATGAATTAATTGGCCCTTGCAAGTTGCGTCACGGGGAGCAAACTTGCGGAAACGAGTCCATCTGGGAAAAGGTGCTTCCGGCGATGCTAAACTAACGGTAGCGTCGTTACGCGGCAAGGCAAAAAAAAAAAAAAAAAAAAAAAACGCAGGAAAAGGCGCCTTTTCTTTGGCGCTCGTTGTTTTGTTTTGTTTTGTTTTTCTTCCTCGGCGCTGTTAGCTTCGTGGTAACTTAGCTCGGAGGAAGCGGCGACGGATCGCTCCGCGGCCGTGACAACCAGTCGACTCACTTTAAGTCAGGAGGTTTCGCGCACGGGTCGACGGAAGGTTTTCAAAAGATAAACTTGCCTGTCGAAGGAAAGACCCACTTTTGTTGTTGACGCGCCGCCGAGACGAGCTGAGCGAAGCCGAGCCGAGCCGAGGCGAGCCGCAGCCTTCTTCGACTGAACCTTCAACAGCGAGAGCGACCGCCGCCACCCCTCGCCGTCGCCCCCTGGTGGGAGACAAGACCTCAACGTCCTCGGTTCTTGTTTCTCATTGGCGTTTTTGGTCTAAGCCCCGCCCCCTTGGACGACGACTCCCCGCCGCCGCCGCCGCCGCCACTTAGCGTGCGCATGCGCGACCGACGCCACGAGCTAATCAGGCGATGCGCCTCAGCCTCGCGCGCGTGCGCGCGCCTCTTTAAACTCGCGGGCGCTGGGCCGGGGGCCCCGTCGTCCACGCGCACCGGTCGTCGTCGTCATGCCCCCGCTGGAAAGGAGCCAGCGGCCGCCCCCGCCCGGCAAACCCTTCAAGCAGAGAAAAAGCTTCGGTGAAGGCAGCAACGCGGCGGGCGGGCGGGGGAGGGGAAACGTCGCCCAAAAATGACTCGAGGCGCCTAATGTCTTCGTCATTAATTTCTTTTGCTTTTGTGTGCAGCCACCAGGAAGCAAGAGGTGGCGGGCATCCGCTCCAAATTCCCCAACAAGATCCCGGTGAGTCGACGGATGACCGATTCCGCACATTGCGCCAAGTCGTCGAGTTCTGCCGACTTGAGTTTTTGTTCACTTAAAAAAAAAAAACAACAACAAAAAAACTTTTGGTAACATTTCCAATGTGCCCCAACACCTCCCTTAGCGGCCACAACTCGGCGTTGTGGTTATTTCCTCGGTGGAATATGACGATATGATGTCGTCATCTCGGGTGCCGCCATTTTGCAATAAGAGCCCGGAGGTGCTTGATATTTCGGTCGACGGCAGAGGGCGCTGCACGACAATAAATAAATAAAGTTCCGCCGGCCTGGTATTAATCAAACGAGGGCAAGTGTACAGTACGTTGTACTTTTTTTTTTTGGACACGTGACTTCCTGTTCTCAGGTGATCATCGAACGCTACGAGCGGGAAAAGTTTCTCCCTCCTTTGGACAAAACAAAGTTTCTTGTTCCACATGAGCTCACCATGAACCAGTTTGTCACCATTATCAGGTAACGTGGCAATAAAATTTCAGTATTCGTTCTTTGTCGAGGATAAAGAATATATCCTGCGACTATTTAAGTTGCTGGGAGAAAAAGAAAATGGGAACGTGCTGAAAATGCCCAAACGTAAGTTGATTAAGCTCCTGATTTTAGTCTTTTAACATCCATCGGAAAAAAAATATTGATCAATCCTTCATAAAGTGGAAGCAGATGTTTTTATTTTAAAAAAACATGAAGTCCAGAGTAATCGATGGACTTATTGAGGCTGAAATAAAAATAAAAAAAATGGAGCAAGTTAAAGGTCTCTGAACAATGAATCGCTAAATGGTTGGCATTTCATATTCTATTTGTCCATTCATTGATGATATATTTTTTCCCTCTTTTTAAAATGCGAGAAAGCGGCGGCTGTTGTGTTCTGGCGCTGCCACTGTTGCCGTTGCAGGAACCGCATGGCGCTGCTGCCCTCGCAGGCCTTCTACCTGCTGGTGAACAACAGCGGGCTGGCCAGCATGACCCTGAGCATGGCTCAGGTCTACGGGGACCACCAGGATGACGACGGCTTCCTCTACATGACCTACGCCTCCCAGGAGATGTTTGGACAACTTTAGCGCAGGGGGCGGGGTGCGCCCAAACCGTGCCCCCCCCCCCTTTTTCCCTTGTGTGTGTAAATACAAATCATTTTGTGCGTTTTAATAAATAAAATCTTATGTACACGTCAGCAGCGCATTGACAAGAACATCCAATGTGAAGTCAGGCTCCCCATTTTTTATTTTTTTTTTATTTTTTGGACTTTGTTGTATCCGTGACTTTGAACTAAATCTGCCGCGGCGCTCGCAATTCTTGGCGAGCGGCAAAAAACTCGCGTTGCCGTCGGGATCGGCGAAATTTGGACGTCGACGCGATCGCGACAGACCCCGTGAACAACCTTGGTGTGCGCTTTCACCTCCAATTGCCCCACGGGGATAAATAAAGTTTTCTGAATCTGAATCTGAATTTGCTTTTCCCGGTTTTGAAAAGCTAACTTTTCGGGGGTGAGCTTTATCGATGGACTTGCGCGAAGAACGAGTCGTCCTCTACATGACCTACGCCTCCCAGGAGATGTTTGGGCAACTTTAGCGCAGGCGCGCCCAAACTTGTGTGTAAATACAAATCATTTTGTGCGTTTTAAGAAATAAAATCTTATGTACACGTCAGCGCATTGACAAGAACATCCATCAGGCTCCCCATTTTTTTATTTTTTTTTATTTTTTGGACTTTGTTGTATCCGTGACTTTGAACTAAATGACTTCAGTGTCATCTAGTTCAAAGTCACGGATACAACAAAGTGACTTCAACTCCAATTTTGCTTTTCCGGTTTTGAAAAGCTAACTTTTCGGGGGGGAGAGCT